CGTTCCCGCCGATCCCGCAGACCCTGCTTGTTCAGTGAATTCAGGGAGCTGAGATGGGACTCAGGACCAGACGGAGCGCTGGAGGGAGGGGCTGTCTGAGTGCAGCCAGTCCAGCTTGGGATTATGCAGGGGAGCAGCTGTTGGGAAACACACAGGACCCTGCAGGCCGCGCCTGCCAGGCCTTGAGAGCACCAGGCCATTGGGTCACATTCTGAGCACAGGGGACAACTCTGACTCTGCCAGCTGGAAGCCAGTGGGGCTCACCCAGTTGTGAGCAATCCCCAGACAGGGCCTGGGACAGGGCACGGCACTCCTTACTGGTCACAGGTCCAACTTCAGTGTACTCAGGGTCCGGGTACTTAATGCCCCAGGACTTGGCATCATCATTCAACACACAGTCCCCCAGGTCTCTGTGTGAGCAGTATGCTCAGGTTTCACTTCACAAACATGGATGCACTCTCTGTGATTTCAGAGGCTTGCAACACAGAGGGAGAACTTCTCACTCCATAGACAATCCTGTGAATATTAGGGGCTCAACAAAACACAAAACATTGGGGCTCTCTGGCCTGGTGAGGTGGCTCCCAACACTTTGGGAGGCCAAAGTGGGTGGATCACCTGAGGTCAGGAGTTCGAGACCACCCTGACATACATGGGGAAACCCATCTCTACTAAATACAAAAAAAAAAAAAAAAATTAGCTGGGCATGGTGGCGGATGCCTATAATCCCAGCTACTAGGGAGGCTGAGGCAGGAGAATGGTTGAACCCAGGAGCTGGAGGTTACAGTGAGCTGAGACTATGTCATTGTACTCCAGCCTGGGCAACGAGAGCAAAACTCCATCTGAAAACAAACAAACAAATAAATACATAAATAAAATAAAATAATAATAAAAAAAAAACCCCAGCAGGGCTCTGACAACACTCAGACACTTTGAGAACTAATCAGAGAAAGCGTCCTTGAAATAAAGTTGTAAGAGACAAGTGAGGATATGCTTCTCCTGGTGAAATAACAGAACACAGAAAACAATGAGCTTTCTTTCTTTTTTTTTGAGACAGAGTCTTGCCCTGTCACCCAGGCTGGAGTGCAGGGGCATGATCTCGGCTCACTGCAAGCTTCGCCTCCAGGTTCACTCCATTCCCCTGCCTCAGGCTCCCCAGTAGCTGGGACTACAGGTGCCCGTGACCACGCCTGGCTAATTTTTTGTATTTTTTAGTAGAGACAGGATTTCACTGTGTTAGCCAGGATGGTCGCTATCTCCTGATCTCGTGATACACCCGCCTCGGCTTCCCAAAGTGCTGGGATTACAGGCATGAGCCATCGTGCCCGGCTATACGTTCATTTTTACACAACTTTTGCCACAGACATAAGTGTGAAAATCACAAATGCACCCTGATGTTCCTGGTCAGGTTGGAGATTCCAGGAGTTTGTCAGGGGCCATGCAGAAAATAGTGGCCCACACCTGAAGCCCAGAACATACAAAATTGTTGACATATTTTGGCATATTTGTTAATATCATCACCACAAACCCAGAAATGCTCAAATTCTGTGAGCTAAAACCCCCAGGGGGAGTTACAGATAAGAACTCAAAGTATTGGCCAGGCACCGTGGCTCACACCTGTAATCCCAGCATTTTGGGAGGTCGAGGTGGGTAGATCACCTGAGGTCAGGAGTTAGAGACCAGCCTGAACAACATGGTGAAATCACCTCTCTACTAAAGTAGCAAAAGTATCCAGGTGTGGTGGCAGGCACCTGTAATCTCAGCTACTCGGGCGGCTGAGATAAGAATTGCTTGAACCCAGGAGGCAGAGGTTGCAGTGAGCAGAGATCACGCCATTGCACTCCAGCCTGGCCAACAACAGCAAAACTCCCTCCAAAAAAAAGGAACTTGGCTGGGTGCGGTGGCTCACGCCTCCAGTTCCAGCACTTTGGGAGGCCAAGGTGGGTGGATCACGAGGTCAGGAGTTCCAGACCAGCCTGACCAACATGGTGAAACACTTTTTCTACTAAAAATACAAAAATTATCTGGGCCTGGTGGTGTACGCTTGTAATCCCAGCTACTCAGGAGACTGAGGCAGGAGAATCTCTTGATCTCTTGATCCTGGGAGGCTGAGGTTGCAGTGAGCCGAGATTGCACCATTGCACTCCAGCCTGGGCAACAGAGTGAGACTCTGTTTAAAAAAAAAGGAACTCAAAGTATCACTCGAGTACTAACCTGGTTTCCTTCATCTGTTGCAACTTGCTTGTGCACCTGGTTCAAGACCCTCTGCACTCACCTGGCCTCTCCTCCATCATGAACAGTCTCACTGCTGACTGGCATGTGTGGCCTGCACAGCCACCAACCCAGTGGACACACACAGCACAGAAAATGAGGACTGGGAGAAACACAGCGTATGATTAGTGGTGGTTTTCATTGATAGGATAACTTTTCTCCAATCTTCTATAAATGATTATATTTTGACATAGGAATACTAAATAGAATAGAATGCTTTTCCTAGAACTGATTCCTGTCCTCTCAATAAAAGTTGGCTTTCCATCAAGCACGAATCCCCTACAGCAGATGGACGCAGCAGCGGCATATGTGGACCCATGGATTTGGAAGATGTAAAGATAGTGTCAATTTAGCTGGACTTCAAACACAGCAGAAGGACTGAGGGAATGCTACGATTGTATCACAGTATAGAGATAGGGCCATATGTACACTATTTCATGTTACATTAGGTGGCCTTTAGCTACAAGGCCAAGAACTCTGTTTCTCATTCATATCCTGCTTTTTCTTTCCTTTTTTTCGGTCACCCTTCTGCCAGAGGATAGAACAGCAGCAGCTCTCTTCCTGCTTGACAACCAACGCCGCCATTCACTCCAGCCACTGTCCAAGTCAAGTAAACTCTGCGAGTAATTCATGAGCAGCACCACCAATGTCCTGAGAGTGACTCTGTGTCCTCCTAACTCCCCAAGGCCGGTTGGAGAAGTCTTCTACTGACAAATCAGAAGAGGAGAACCCAGATTTTGCCAATAGGAGGTTGCTTGTCTTCTCTTACTTGGAAATGTGGCTAAAGAAGTTGATATTCTAGGTTATCAACAATGCTCTGCAGGCTCTGGAAGCAGATGCATTCCCTCTAGGTGGTGGGGGCTTGTGTGTATGGGTCTTGGAGGGTGTCTGGGTATGAATGTAAGTGGGAGAACTGTGCTCTCTGCCAAAGCTCCAGTGTCCTGGGAAAGGAGAGAGAAGCATGGCCTTGAGCACATTTCAAGCCTCCTTGCCTTACCCCAATCATGGATTCTGGGATGAGACTTCTTCCCTAGTTCTCTAAGTAAGCATAACCTTGAAAGCAAAGTCTGGTGAAAAAAATGTCAAGAAGGGAAAGTCTATTTGATTCATAAACAGTTGCATAACTTTTTTTTTTTTTGAGACAAAGTCTCACTCTGTCGCCCAGGCTGGAGTGCAGTGGCTCGATCTCAGCTAACTGCAACCTCTGCCTCCTGGGTTCAAGTGATTCTTGTGCTTCAGCCTCCCGAACAGCTAGGATTACAGGGGCCTGCCACCACCCCCGGCTAATTTTTGTATTTTTAGTAGAGGCAGGGTTTCACCATGTCTCAAACTCCTGACCTCAGGCCTCCCAAAGTGTTGGGATTACAGGCATGAGCCACTGCACCTGGACTAGAGATGAATAACTCTTAAACAAAACATGAATTAACCAAATCCAGGGACACAGAAAGCAAAAAAAAAAACTAATCACCATCAATTTTGGTGTGTTCCAGGAATGCGAGATTGACTGAATATTAGAAAATCAAGGCTCACATCTGTAATCCCAGCACTTTTGGAGGCTGAAGCCTGTGGAACACTTGAACCCAGGAGTTCGAGATGAGCCAGGCCAACATGGCAAAATTTTGTCTCTACCAGAAAATGCAAAAATTAGCTGGGCATAGTGGCACACACCTGTAGTCCCAGCTATTCAGGAGTCTGAGGTGGGCGGATCACTTGAGCCTAGGAGGTGGAGGCTGCAGGGAGCCAAGATGACGCCACTGCCCCCCAGCCTGGATGACAGGGCCAGACCCTGTCACAAAACAAACAAAGAAAAGAAAAAAGAAAATCAAGCAACACAATTCACCACACTCACAGAACAAAGAAGAAAAGTCACTCACCATCTCAGTAGATGCAGAAAAGCATTTGATAAAATTCGCCAACATTCAGTTACAATAAAAACTCTCAGCAACTAGGAATGAAGGGAAACTTTCTTAATCTGATAAACTGCGGCTACAAAAACCTACGGTAAGTGTCATGCTTAAAGGCACAACATAAAAAGCCTCCCTTTTGAGATGGAAACCAAGCTAAGAATTATTTCATTATTTCCTTTCAGTAGTATAGGGGAAGTCTTAGCCAATGTAATAAGGTAAGAAAAACAAAAGCCATAAAGATTGGAAAGGAGGACATGAAACTTTCATTGACAGAGCAGGAGCATCGCCATCTTGGACAAGCACAGTCATTTTAAAGTTCACCTTGATCAAAATCTGCCTAAATCCAAAGGGCATCAGCCTAACGGCTAAGGTCAGCATGACCATAAACCGCAAATAATCTCTCCGACCAGAAACATTCTAAACCCCTCCCTGACTGGAGACATGCCAGCCCCGAGATAACCTCCCCTCTGGCCAGAGAGACATTAGCCCCAAGATAACCTCCCCGGGGACCAGAGACATTTCAACCACACCATAAACTTCTCCCTCAGACAGAAACATTCCAAGCTAGTGATAAACCCTCTCACCCTAAAAAACCAATAAATACTCTTAGTTTGTAAAAGAGCACGCCCCGACCGAAATCAGCCAGAAGCCCCTCTCAGGTTTATTCTCCAAAATAAATCTGTCTTTGACTGTTGAGCCACTTTTCGTGTTTTGTTCCTCTTTCTTTAACTCTTACAGTCATTATTTGTAGATACTCGAGAAACTTAGGTGAACTGAGCAAGGTCATTGTAATACAGAAGTTATTAAAAATAACTTTTAGGCAAATAATAAAGGTAAAGGTTCTTGGTAAAAATTTTCCTATAATAAAAAACAACCCCCAAACCATCTCTTTTCTAATAATAATTAAAAAAAAGGGCAGCTTAAAGGGCCTGGCCAGCAAACTTTAATATGCAAATACCAGCCATTAAAAATTGGGTTCACTCAATATCCTGTCACCTTGTCATCTCCTTGTCACCAGGTGTATCAAGTGTCATGACCACCTCCAAATAACACCATGTGTTCAAAACGTGGCAATCTGCATTTGCATATTAAAGGGCTAAAGTAAAAGGGCCAGGTTTTTTGCTGGCTAGGTAAATAACACACCTGATCAAACCAATCCCCTGGGCCTTATGCAAATCAAACACCTTCTCCTCCAGCATCCCAAAAAAAGCAACCACTTTTCCAACTCACACAGGGATTCTATTTATTCAAATTCCCCTCCCTCTGTCCCTGTACAGAGAAGCTGTCTTTTTCTCTCTTCTTTTTTCTTTCTCTTTTTTTCTCTCTCTCTCTCCTCTCTGTCTCCTGTATTTATTTTTCTTTCTTGCCTATTATACCTTTTGCTCCTTAAAACCACTCCACCAGCCTGACCAACATGGTGAAACTCCATCTCTACTAAAAACACAAATATTAGCCAGGTGTGGCGGCACATGCCTGTAATCCCAACTACTCAGGAGGCTGAGGCAGAATAATTGCTTGCAACCAGGAGGCGGAGGTTGCAGTGAGCCGAGATCATGCCACTGCACTCCAGCCTGGGTAATAAGAGTGAAAACTCTGTCTCAAAAAAATAAACTAAAAACAAACAAAAAACCACTCCATGTGTGTCGGTGTCATTAATCCTATCAGTACAAAACAAAAACCCTGGTGTTCCTCCAGTCATCAAAGCTGCATCAACTGGAATCAAGGAATATATGCAAAAATCAATGGTATTTCTATGTTACCAGCCACAAACAAAAAAACCTTTTCTGAAGTAAAATCGCTTGTAGTAGTGTAAACCAAAAAGCATCTGAGACAGGTCTCAATCAATTTGGGAGTTTACTCAATCAATTTGGGAGTTTACTTTGCCAAGGTTAAGGACAATGCCCAGGAGGAAAAAAAAAAAAAAGAATCACAGAAGCAGCCTCTGGTCTGTGTCTTTCCCCAAAGGTGATTTTGAAGGCTTCAAAATTTAAAAGAGAAGGGTGAGTTGGGAGGATTGCTTGAGCCCAGGAGGTCGAGACCAGCCTGGGCAACATTGTGAAACCCCATCTCTACAAAATATACAAAAATTAGCCAGGTATGGTGGTGCATGCCTGCAATCCCTGCTACTCAGGAGGCTGAGGCATGAGGATCGATTGAGCCCAGGAGGTGAGCCGTGATTGCGCCACTGTACTCCACCCTGGGAGACAGAGCGACACCCAGTCTCAGTGTCTGTTTCTTTCTCGCATGCCCTCTCTCCCTCTATATATATACACACACATATATACGTATATGTATATATATACACACATATATGCATATACGTATATACATACATATGTATATGTATACACACATATGTACATATACACACAAATATACGCATACGTGTATACACACATATATACGTGACCAAACTCCGTCTCTACTAAAAATACAAAAATTACTCGGGCATGGTGGCACATAACTGTAATCCCAGCTATTTGGGAGACTGAGGTGGGAGAATTGCTTGAACCCAGGAGGCGGAGGTTGCAGTGAGCCGAGACCGCACCATTGCACTCCAGGCTGGCTGAGGAGCGAAACTGTCTCTCTACAAAAAAAAGAAAAACTGGTATTTTCGGACAGGCACAGTGTCTCATTCCTGCAATCCCAGCACTTTGGGAGGCTTTTGCAGGTGGATCACTTGAGGTCAGGAGTTTGAGACTAGCCTGACCAACATGGTGAAACCCTGTCTCTACTGAAAATACAAAATTAGCCGGGCGTGGTGGCTCGTGCCTGTAATCCCAGCTACTTGGGAGGCTGAGGCAGGAGAATTGCTTGAAGTTGGGAGGCGGAATTTGCAGTGAGCCGAGATGGTGCCATTGCACTCCAGCCTGGGTAACAAGAGCAAAACTCTGTCTCAAAAGAAAAAAAAAAAGAAAGGAAAAACTGTAATTTTTTCTTTTTTTTTAGATACAGGGTCTCACTCTGTCACCCAGGCTGGAGTGCAGTGTTGGGATCACGGCTCACTGCAGCCTTGACACCCCAGGCTAAAATAATCCTCCCGCTTCTGCCTCCTAGAGTAGCTGGAACTGCAGGTGCCCACCAGTGTGCTCGACTATTTATTCATTTAGAGATGAAGTCTCACTCCATTGCCCAGGTCGGAGTGCACTGGCGCAATCTCAACTCACTGGAACTTCTGCTGGGTTCAAGCAATTCTCCTGCCTCAGTCTCCCAAGTAGCTGGAACTGCAGGTGTTGCCACCACACCCAGCTAATTTCGTATTTTTAGTGGAGTCGGGGCTTCACCATGTTGGTCATGCTGGTCTTGAACTCATGACCTCAGATGATCCACCTCCCTCAGCCTCCCAAAGTGCTGGGATTACAGACATGTGCCACCACGCCCAGCTAATTTTGTATTTTCAGTAGAGACAGGGTCTTACTATGTTGGCCAGGCTGGTCTTAAACTCCTGGCCTCAAGTGATCCTCCTACCTCAGCCCCCCAAATAGCTAGGATTACAAGTATGAGACACCACGAGTGGTTCTATCTTGTTGCCATGGGTGACAAGGGTTTCCTGAAAAGCTGGGACCTTTTGTCACACATGTGGCCCAGGAGTCGGCATAGCTGAAGGCAGATCCAAGGAAAGGCAGAACAGTTGTAGGCCTGGCCTCTGCCTGTGGCCGTGACTGGAGAGGGAGCTAAGAAAATGACATATGTTTCGCTTCTGCCAAATCTCGCATGGGAATCTCTTGTGGCTCACCCTAACCAGAAACACGCAGGAAACGGAGTTCTGGGAAATGTCACATCACCCAACAACATGGTGGCTGGCAAAGAGCAAAAAAGGAGAAGGCTCCGAATGCCAGTGACTGCGTGGGAACCCAGGCTCTCTTGTAGGTTGGTGGCGGCGTCAACTGGTACAACTCTAGATAGAAAATGCTTGTGCCATTTAACCAGCTGATCCACCTGTGCAAATTTCTCTTCCAAGTTAACCTGAACTTATTTACACAGCACAACAGTGTTTAAAGCAGCAAAAGGCTGAGCACAGCTTTCACGTCCCCTAGCCTGGGGCTAGTTCCCTGCATTGTTTAGATTTTTTTTTCACTTTGCACACACAGTATTTATTTTTCACATTAATGAAAAAGGTAAGGCCATCTTTTTATACCTATGCCTCTGGTGTATTGTTACAGGGACTGTTGACCTAAAGAAAGAAATTGAGGCAAAATTAATACAGAGTTTATTTGGGCCAAGGTTGAGAATAGTTGCCCCAGACACACTTCCAAGTGTGGAGTGCTTGGGGAGTGCTTACTTCAACCTTTGTTACAGTTTTTTTTTTTTTTTTTTTTAAAGAGATGGTATCTTGCTATGTTGCCCAGTCTGGCCTCCAATTTCTGAACTCAAGTGATCCTCCCAACTCAGTCTCCCAAAGTGCTGGGATTACAGGTGTGAGCCACTGTGCCTGGCCCAAAAGCATTTTTTTTTAAAGGCAAAAGAGGATAAGGAGGCTGGACATGGTGGCACATGCCTGTAATCCCAGCACTTTGGGAGGCTGAGGTGGGTGGATCACCTGAGGACAGGAGTTCGAGACCAGCCTGGCCAACACAGTGAAACCCCATCTCTATTAAAAATACAAAATTAGCTGGGTGTGGTGGCATACGCCTGTAACCCCAGCTATTTGGGAGGCTGAGGCAGGAGAATCACTTGAACCCAGGAGACA